CCACCACGCGAATATGCTACACATCACCATGTATACATGAAATTGACGGCCGATGTTACATATATGCTACACAACACCATGCAGTTTTTCTCCAGAGATCCAGAGAGAGAGAGAGCCCATGTTTTTGTTTTTCCTCATCCACCAAAAAAATCTCATTTCATATCTCTTTCTCTCAATATTTTCACAAAAGTAAACAAAACTGGTCTAAAAGAAAAACTAAGCATATGAAAGTCAATATGATTTTCTTAAATAATTTTCATAGCATTTGAAAACAGAACTCTACTTCAAATCAAGAAAATCCTCATATAAGTAGATCTTTTGCTCTCGAGAGTAAATGTAAAAATCTACTTCTACATAAGTACACTATATGTAGTAAACTTTTACATTTGAGTGGTTCCATTCTCACTTTAGGGTTAAGATAGGAGAGGGTGACAGTCAAAGCCACACCCTTCCGAAATCTTAGTATAAGTCGGGTTAAGATTGAGTAAAATACTTAGAACTTCAACTAAATTTAAAGTATTGAATATCTTAAGTTTGAGATATATATAACATCATAGATTCATGAACTTATTTATATGGAATGAGTGATAAAAGATGTGTGTGCCTTACGTAGCTTCCTTTATAGAGAGGCAACGGTCTTTTACATTGAGAGGCAAGGTTTTTATATAGAGAGGAATGAACTTCCTATGCAGATAAACATTGTGATAATGCTTCCTTCAAAGTTAGATATTGATTTTTTATAGGGACGCATTTTTCATGGATGTTATGTTATGTCTCGCCTTTTACCAAGAGAGGTCTCGAGGTTTTTTTCCTGGATAGAGATTTAGCTGCAGAATAAAGATGGGAGATTACCCGATGATATTGGTTGAGAGAGCTAGTCTAAAGGAGTTGCTATATTACATTTTGTCGAGAGTTAGAGAGATAATTATGTATCTCAAAATATTTAATATAATTCTTATTAGTATATTGGATTTCTGGTTGTAGTATCCATAAATATAACATTTTGAGGTAAACCACATAAATTTGTGTGTTCTTATGGTATGTGAATTCTTTTGTTTTATTTCTGATACTTGTATTATGGTTTTTCTCGCATGTTTTATTTCTAGCCAGCCAAATACGCGATCTTGGTAGAATCCCAAAATTAGGTGTTCCTATTTCAGCTATTTCTTCATGACGGAGGTTTTTTAAATTCTAACAATTTATTCCACCTATGGCATCTGTCTCATAGACCATCTCTCTCTTGCCATCTGGTTTGGAAACACAATTGTGTCTTACCTGCCATTAAATTTGAACGACAACAGCATATGAATCAAACGTGTTAGCAACTTACTTTGTGTACTTTCTTCATACTTGAAATAAGTTTTATTTATTTCATCCAACATGACTTGAAGCTTAGACTAGACGTTAGAAGGAATTTTTTCTTTTTCAAAATTTTTAATGCCTTTGCTATGATGAACATTGTTAAGAAAAAAAAAAAATGAATTTGAGTTCGTAAAGGCTTATATCTTGAAATTCACCAAATAATTGGTCAAGATTCATTGTGAAGAGAACTCATTTTGATCGTATTTAAGGTGTAAATTAAATTTATATTTTAAAAATTGATTATTGGGATATAAAGAGGGTGTCTACAATTTTGTAGGTCATATAGATGCCACAAACATAGTTATCTAGAAGCGTAGTTTCATTACATTATAATGTCACGAAGATAAAAAATTATTCCGTTATATATAAAGTTGTAACCTTAATTAAAATTAAAGTTGCAATGATCTAAACTATTCATTTTATATCAATAATTTAGAATTGACACTATCTTAAAATATATATTATTTTAAAAATCATATCAAAATCTATATCATCCAATAATAACATGATGACAAAAAATTCTCCTATATATATATATATATATATATATATATATATATATATA